TTTCTTTATTATTTAGTTTTTTAAAGTTATTTGAATTTATTTGATGCTGAATCATTTACTCCCAAGCCAAAAGTTTTTATTTCTTTAGTTTATTCTGGGATTCTTTTTCTTCTGGGCAAAACCTCCTCTTCTGGTTTCAGAACAATCTGTTCCTTTGCAGTAAGGGTCATCTCAAGATGGCAAGCATGTAGCCATTAAACCAACCATGCATGAGCTCTGTACATGTAGTGGCGCATTGTGGGAGCTTTGTTCACCTAGATGTGCTCAGTGACCAGAGAATTGACATCTAAACCCTTAATTTCAGCATTACTCTGCATTTTTAAGCATATGCAGCAAAAAGTCACCACTCATTTTGGGCCACTGACCCTATGTCCAACCCCACTGTTTGGCCTGGGCTCATGAACCAGCACCACCTCTGTAACAATGGAACAGGGAAAACTACTTTTACAAGTATCTTTCAGATACTTGGTGGCTTTCCAGATATGTACACCCTTGATGGCCTGGGCAGTTTCCAAGGTGTTCTTAAAAATTGACCCAGAGATTTGAGCCTCTTGATTTGCATGATCTTGTGGGATTTTCCAGTTCAAGCAAGTATCAAACCACTTTGGGAGATAACCTGAGGCTGCTCATGGGAAGAGCTCTCTAAAAGTGTTAAAGACCCAAACCAACCAAATCAAACTGTGGGGTAGACAGTACAGCTCTACGCCCAGGTGCTCTGGCTTTGCCTGGTGGACAAGTAGGGCGGGGCGGCTCCTGCTGCTCAGACATGTGGCACAGCAGGTGGGATCAAGCATGCTCAGCTTGTCACCACTGCTGCCCAGTGCCATTCTTCCAGCCTCTAACCGCAGCTACAATGACAGCAGCAGCAGTAGCAGGAGTTTCAACAAGGACAAGTGAAAGTGGGTACCCATAGGTTTTAAAACAGTGTTCATACAATGTCCAAATCACATAAGGCCCAATTTATAGAATGCATCATGGACATTAAGTAACTCTTACCTGTACAGATGATGCTCTTAGGTGCCATCACGTAGACTACAACTCACAGCGACCCCACTGACAGCAGATCTGAACTTTACCCTCCTTTACCCTGTGCCATCCTCATGATCCCCAATATACTTGAGTCCATCAACAGTCACTGTTTCAATCTATCTCACTGAGGGTCTTCTGCTCTTTCGCTGACCCTCCACCTTTACAAGCATGATGTCTCTTTCCAAGGGACAACATCTCCTAACAACATGCCCCAAATATGTAATGGTTAATCAAAATAAAGAAGGCAGTGGTAGTTCAAGACTGAGTTCTTGCCTTCCACGTGGTGAACCAGGTTCCATATCCAGCCACTATTCCTCCAGTGCTGCCACCACTTATCTATCAGTGGCGGTTTCCAAGTTGCTATGCTGCTAAACAGGTCTCAGTATAGCTTCCAAACTAAGATGGAAGAAAAACAGCACGTTTTCAAAAATCAGTCCATGAAAACCAGCACCATTTCAGCTCAGTACAGGGGATGCCATGAGTAGGGACCGACTACAACAACCAACAACAAAAGCAATCAGAATAAGCAAGTTAGAAAAGCTAAGGGTACTGTAGTCATTAAGTGACACTGAGCCAATTTTGGAAGGAGCACTGTGGTGAAGTAATTAAACATTTGACTGTTTAACCAAAAGTTAAATTCACCAGCCACTGTCTAGGAAAAAGCTGTGACAAACTGTCCTATGGAAATGAGAGCTCTGGAAACCCTACAGAGTCATTCTACTGCCCTTTACAGCCACCAAAAGTCGGAAATGACGCAACAGTGATAGAACTGGGGGTTTCGTTTGTTTTAATCTTTACAGGACCAGAAGAGCAGGTCTCTCTTCTTCAGAGCCACTGAGTAGTCTTGAAACAACCGTCTTTCAGTGAGCAGCTAGCATAAAGCTTACTCATTGTACCAAAAGGTAATTTTACAAAAGTAATGCTAAGAAATAAGTCCACGTAAATGTTATCTAATGACTGTGACAGCTTTAGAACATAATGTAAAAGTCAGGACCTTGACAAAGTGCAGCAACAGAAAATGGAAATTAATGAGCTAATTTCTTCATCTTTATTGGAAGCCAAAAATCTCACAAAGAAATGCTCAAGATGATTAGAGATGCAAATCACAACAATGCAATCTCACTTCAGCAAAATTACCAGTGCTCCATTAGAAAGCAAACAATAAGTGTTGGCAAGGGTGTGGAGACAACTATCAGACACTGCAGGTGGGAAGCCAAACAGTGCAAGTACTACAGAAAGCAGTTGGAGCTTCCTCAGAAAGTTGGAAGAAGTATCCTTTGATTCCGCATTTCTACTGTTGCTGTTAGGTTCTGTCAAGTCAATACAACTCATGGAGATCCTATGAATAGCAGATCTGAACCTTGTCCTATCCTGTATCAGCTATACATTCCAAAGAAGTAGAAACTGCAACACAAACTGATATACATAAACCCATTTTGCAGCATTATTTACAAAAGCAAAGAGTTGGAAACAGCCCAAATATTCCACAGGGGATGAATGGTGAAAGGAATGGATATCCTCATACAATGGAATATCATGCATCACTAACAAAGGATCAAGAATTCGTAAAATGATGCACAACTAGATGAATCTAAAAGATATTATGTCAAGTGACATGAGTCAGTTACAAAAGGAAAATCTGGTATAACATCACTATTATAAAAAGCTAAGTAAAGGTTTATACAAATTCGATCTTGAAAGGTTAACAGGGAGGGAAAGGAGAGTGAAAATAAAGAGCTAATTTGGGTAAAGAGAAAGGCAATATACAATAAGAGTTTGCTTAGTCATTATAACAAATTAGCTACATTAATCAATTATAATTAATGTTATAATACAAAAAGATCCAAGATCAATGAAAAATAATTTTTAAACTTTCACTAACATTTTTTTTAATTGGCACTTTTTAAAAAACAAAAATATATTTTCAATGCCTTTGCATAAATGCAAAATCTGGACAACAAATACTGTGTTAGGTATCACCAAGTGGAGGACAACCCATAGAACCCCTATGAACAGATGTGAACTCTGTCCTATTCTGTGCCATCCTCACACTTCCTGACACACTGCACTGCAGCCCATTGCTGCAGTCACTGCCATAACAAATAAGGAAAAATTAATCACTACCTATAAATTGTGGTGATGGCAAAGAATATTGACTATACCATGAACTGCCACGAGAATGAATAACTCTATACTGGGAAAAGTGCAGCCAGAATGTGCATAAAGCGGCAACGTAAAGACTTGGTCTCACATACTCTGGACATGTCATCAGAAGAGACCAGTGCCAAAAAGGAAGGGAGTGCCATGCTTGGGAGATGGTCAGTAAGAAAGAGTAAGACCCTAAACAAAATGGTTACAACAAAGGATGGGGCAGGACCAGGGGTGCTATGAGTTAGACCTGAACAACTAGATAAATACTAACATGAGAAACATTCAGAATATAGTTGGGCCCCCAAAATAGTATAACAGTACAGATGATAGAATCTCAACTGTACCTACTTAGATGCGTAGTTCGGTGCATACCTGTAAAACCTAACTAAATGTATGAATAATAAACAGTACTAAGTAGCAAACGCCTCGTTTTTATGGGAAGTAATGGAGAAGACCCTCTATGAGGTGGATTGATTCAGTGACTGGGTTAATCGGGATGGGTGTGTCAGAGGCGGTGCGATTGGCGCAGGACAGAGCAGAGTTTAGGGCTGTTGTACATAGGGTCGCTATGAGTCGCAGGCGACTCGACGGCACATAACAGCAACAATACATACTTAGGACACGTTATCAGGAGGCGCCAGTCCTTGGATATCATGATTGGGAAAGAGTAAGGCCGGTCAGAGAGGAGGGCCCTCAACGAGACGGACTGACACAGCGACTGCAATAACGGCTTCAGTTCAGCAGAGATTGTGGGGAAGGAGGATTTCCTTCTGTTGTACTTGGGGTCGCCATGAGTTGGAGTCAACTGGGGAGCACTTCAGGAGCCATGCTGGCTACGCCCAGTACACTTTTCTAACCTAGTCCTAATGCTTTCTGAGTAATGCGCACGACGATGCTGATTGAACCACTGCTCCGCGGCGAAGGAAGTTCAAGGATCCACCCCTCACTCTTGAGCCAAAGGTGCGGGGCATTTTAAGGCCCGGAGCTGCCAGCCCAAGGGCAGTTTCTCCTCCCTCCAGGATCCCCCAAGGCCCCAGCCCGGACTGACCGCGGAGCAGGATGGAGTCGGTCTCCTCTTTACTAGACACCGAGCTCAGTGAGTCGCCCAGCGGCCGCCGGCAGCCGGAGCATAGATATACCAGCGGCATCTCGTCCACGGGCGCATCGCACTGCGATTCCTCGGCGCTGGCCTCGGACGCGCTCCAGTTCTCGGAGTTCCACATGCTCGTCCACTTCTCCGCAACTGCTGGCGGCCTGAGTCTTCAGAGAGCCGCCTGCCCAGCAGCGAGGAGTCGCTCCACACGACAGCTAACCGAAGAGCAGTTACAGCTATAAAAAAAGCAAAAGATGGCCCGCCATTACAAACTGCCCGCGCCCCAGAGCACAGCGGGAAAAATTACATGCGCGTGCGCAGAAGGGAGGAGCGCGGTCTGAAGGAGGAGGGACCGTCAGCTGTCAGTTTGTAGCTTGTAACTTTGGTTTGTACCCAGTGGTGATCACTTGACCTGCATCAGCAGGTACCTTAATACAGTACCTGAGTGAAGATCTTCATGAAGGCTATTTAGCTACTTCCTTGAACCAGAGGTGAACCTCTTTGAGGAAGTGTTTGGACCTCTCGCTAAGACCTTTACAGCTGTTCTTGTTAGCTGCCTTTTTAAATACCAGGTGATTTCATGCACAACACCACAAACAGCCTGGTCTTGCATCATCCACTCTGAGAAGCATAAATTACAAGGTTTTCATTGGCTGATTTTCAGAAGTAGATCGCCAGGCCTTTCCTCTTAGTCTTGATATTTCACTGAAACCTGTTCAACATCATAACACACATACCTCCACTGACTTGGTGAGGGTTGCCTGTGAGATGCTTTGGCCTAAACCGAACCTGGTTCTCTGGCAAGAAGGAATGAACACAGTCAGTGTCACTGAATTATGCATGTGAAAAATATTGAGTTGTAAAAGGTTAAACATATTTTTCCACTGTTTTTGAAAAACTACAAAAAATGTTTTATAAATTACAGAAACTGGTAACAGCATTATGGAAATCACCACAGACCACCTGGTATCATCCTTAAGAATCTCCTCATTATCCTTCTGTCACTGTCAAACTGTGGTGGCTTGTAGGTTGTTATGGGGCTAGAAGCTGTGATAGTGGTATTTCAAACACCAACAAGTCACTCATGTTGAGGAGGTTTCATTGGAACATTCAGAGCAAGAAAATCAAGAAAGAAAAGTCCGCTGATCTACTTTTTCAATACCAGCAATTTTACCCTGGCACACACAGCAGCATCATGAATCAGAGTCAACTGGTCAGCCACTTTACAACAAGAATCTACATCTGTTCATACTTCTCTTCACATAATGAGCTATGAGCGGCCCCAACTTATAGGAACCTCATATGTGTCAAGAAGAACTGTGCTCCACAAGCTTTTCACGGTTAATTCTTTGAAAATAAGGACTTTCTTGTGAGTTTCCCCTGAGTAGATTTTACCCACCAAGCTTTCAGGTATAGAAGTCAAGTGTACTTTTTGCATAATCCAGATTTTTTTATTTTTATTTTTTTGTTTTTCTACTAGTTTATTTACAAAATTCAAATACAAATTTGAACAAATTCTTTTAATTTCTCTCACTCCCCCATCCATCAAATTGCACAACCCAATGATTAATCCCTCTTCCACCTGCACATCCACATCCCTCTGCTTCCACTCCTCCTGGATTCTTATACTCATTCTACAATAAAGGTTTTAGACAGTATTTATCCTTATAGGACCGAGTTAGTTCACTCAGCATAATGCTCTCCACTCCCTCCCTAGTTAGGTAATAATTTACAAAGTTATTGCTCCTGCATGCTGCATTGTGTTCCATTGGGTGAATGTACCATAATTTCTCAATCCATTCATTTGTGGTTGGACATTTGGGCTGTTTCCATGTTGTGATGGTGAATAATACTCCTGTGAACATTGGTGTACAAATCTCAGTTTGTGCCTCAGTTCTCATATTCTCAGGTTTATTTTTAAGTGTCAAATGGCAAAAGTATATAGACAGCACGGAGAAGAATTTCAACAGATAGTACATTAGAGAAAACTATTCCTTAACCCCCAGTAATGCAAGAAGGGAGGAAAGAAAGGGTATGTGAAGGGATAAGTGAAGGTAAGACATCCTAAGAGAACCATTCTTCCATCAAGAATTATATATAGCCGATTGAGATGGCTCCATAGAGGAGAAGGCAGGGGGTTAAATATCCTGACTTCTTTTTCTTCTCGTCCTGCAGTTTTTGGTGGGACTTCACACACCCTAATCCAGAGCTCACAGAGAGCAGATTGATGTAAACCATACAGGCAGCCAGCCTCCCAGGTCAGACCACAGGGTAGAAAGTAGATCTTCAAGGAAGGAATCTTACACCCACACTAGCATGTCTTCATGAAGGGTATGGATAAGACTATGCCTATCATATAAGCTCTGAAGAGATGTTATTATTGATTGTTGTTGTTATCAAGGAGGTTCCAACTCCTGGTGACCATATATAACAGAATTTTGTTCAATTTAGGGTCCTCCTCATAACTATTGTGATGCTCAAATACAATTGTTGTAGCCAATGGTATTTGAATGCCTTCCAGTTAAGATGACTCATATTCCAATATTATAGTGGGCAATGGGGAGCTCTGGTGATCTAGTGATAGCGAGTCACGCTGCCAACTCAACAATATGTAATTTGAATCTACTAGCTGCTCAGAAGGAGACAAAGCTACAATCTCCTCCTGTGTGATTTACTACCTCTGAAAGCCCGCTCAAGAGTATAACTCACACTCTATTGGGAATGTCAGTTGGTTTTCACTCAACAGTACACAACGACAGCATACGGGGCAATATTCTGTTGTGATCCAAAGGGTTTTCATTGCTGCTTTTCAGAAGTAGATTGCCAGGACTTTCTTTCTAGTTTGTCTTAGACTGGATACTCCGCTGAAACCTATTCACAATAATGACCTTACTAATTTTTTGTTGGTTTTGTGTTTTGTTTTGCTTTTTTTTTTTCGTTGTTGCTGTTGTTGATCTCCATCAAGTTGAGCATGGCTCATAGTAACCCTATGAACAAAATACCTGAAACTTTTCTATAACTATTGTTGTTTCTCAAAGTTCATAGAGTTTCCAGAGGCATGAAGGTTAGGAAGTGGATGCCACTTCTGCTTCCCTTACTAGTTTTTTAAATTGCCAGTAATATGGCTTCTATCATTATAGTAACACCCAAGCCATCACAATATAACATAACTAAACAGATAATGAGAAGTAAAAACTAAAATCAAGGTCCATTCTAACTATACTTAGTAGTCTTTTTTGCTGGATCTATCTTTTATTTCTACTTTGGTGCAAAGCATGATCGTAAATAGCAAATAAATGTTCATCTAATTTCATGTTAGGGATTCCTGGTGGTTTGGTGAGTAATGCATCTGGCTGCTATCCAAAAGGTCAGCATTTCAAATTCACCAGCCACTCTGTGAAAGATGTACTGTCTCCTCTCATAAAGATTTCCAGCCTCAAAAATCCAGTGAATTTTAAAAATTTAAGATCATTTTTAACAAAATCAATTGCCTACCAAATAACAAAACAAAACAAAAAGACAAAATAGATAAGTGAAATTTCATTTAAAAAAAAAAAAAAACCCCACCCTTCTGTTCATCAAAAGACTTTGGGGGGAAAAATCCAGTGAAGCATAAATATGAGTTAGACTTGATTCAGCAAGAATGGCTTTGGTTATTACATAAGTGGTTATATGTTTGATTGTTCACCAAAACATTGTTGTTGTTGTTGTTATGTGCTGTCGAGTCGCTTGCAACTCATAGTGACTCTCTGTGCAACAACTCTAAACGGTGCTCTGTCCTGCGCCAATCGCACTGTCTCCGACCCACCCACGCCGATTATCCCAGTCACTAAATCAATCCACTTCATAGAGGGTCTTCCCCCCTGCGCTGTCCCTCCACCCTACCAAGCATGATGTCCCTCTCCAAGGACT